ATGAGACAAAATAAAAGGCCATGGCCTTTTAATATGGATTTTACAGAATTGCCTCTGAGGTGGCCTTCTATTTAGGGTGCCCTTCTAATATAGGGTGGCCTTCTATTTTGGGGGGGGGGTTAGGTATGTTAGAGCCATTCGATATTTCCTTTCGGCCTACAGGTGCTGGTGACATGAACGCTATTGTGTCATACTTCGGATCGAATCAGTGTTTAGAAGACAAAACAAATAGTTTATGAGAAACTAAATACCAACAGCATGCCTGACTTTCTAAGTAGTTTCTTGCACAATATACAGGGCGATTATCAACTGTATGATGAGAAATGAAACAAAATTGCATCAAACATGCACAGTTCACAGTCGAAACGTTCCTTTTTTACAGTGCAGATCCCAAGTTTTCGAGGTACGAACTTTATAATAGCTCGAAAGTACAACCTAACCCAAAAAAAAGGAAAAAGGAAATATGGCTTTATTTTCTATTTTTATTCATAATGCACAGGTGAAGAGTGTCGTGAATCGACTTGAGGATCTTGTTAGTCAGATAAAATCAGCTCGAGACATCAGACGAGAAAAGATGGACGAGCCTCTTTCGTTCACTGTCGCTGAGCGATCCTCGAGTGGCATTGACGGAGGCTTTCTCTTCTCGCATCTTCTCCTCGATACAATGGTTCGCCTCGATCTGACTCAAGAAGAAAAAGAACAATTAATTCAACTCTGTCGCAACACGTACAAAGATAATCAAACTGAATTGAACAATGTTCGTGAGTTTGAACACGAATATGAATCACAGAATGCCCTGCGATGGTGAGAAGAAAATACAGAAATGCATCCTTTGATGCAAAATAAACCTTACTCCATTCTTCATTCGTATAGGTATACACGAGAAGCCTTTGTCTATCGTATGATAAATAAAGCCTTTCGAATGAGAAATGTTGAAGTTCTTCTTCTCTTTCGAATGATCATTCAAGACATTCAACAACAGTTGATACAGGAACAACTACAAACGACTGTATGTCTTTATCGGGGTCAATTAATGTCGAAGGAGGAAATAAGTGAACTAGGTCGATTATCAGGCAAACTCATTTCAATGAATTCCTTCCTATCTACAAGCAGGAGTCGGGCATATGCAGAAATGCTTCTTGATGGAACAGATTCCGACATCACAAAGAAAGGCGTTCTTTTCGAAATTGAAGCGGATCCTCGTCTACCGAATATGAAACCATTTGCTGATATCTCTCGATACTCGCAGTTTACCGATGAGCAAGAGGTTCTCTTTATGGCAGGATGTATATTCCGAATCGAAGAAGTTCGTCAGGACGAGACAATGACGTTCATTAAATTGATATTATGTAGCTCTGATAATCATGAGTTGAAAGAACTTTTCGACCATGCTAAGCAAGAGACGGGCAGTGTGGTTACTCTCCACTCATTGGGTGTTATACTGGGAAAAGCCGGAAAACTGGACATAGCGGAAAAATGTTGCCGTGGGTACTTGAAAGGGCTCCCGAACGACGATCCGCTAAGAGCTGAGTGCTACCACTCCCTAGGAAACATCTTGGAAAAGCGTGGAGAGTATGACGAAAGCCTTGGAACACATAAGAAGTGTTTGGAGATTCAAGAACGCACATTACCTACAAGACATCCAGATACCGCCAAAACTCACAATAACATGGCGAATGTGTATTATCGAAAGGGCGATTATCCTCGTGCACGTACATCATACGAGAAAGCATTGAGTATATTCAGGAAGGCGTATGGCCAAGACAATGCGAGTGTTGGTGGATGCTTGCACAATTTGGGTAATGTGTACTCCAAGGAGGGAAAGTATGAGGAAGCTTTACTTCACTATCGACAAGCATTGGTTATCTATGAGAAAGTTCTTCCTGATTCACATATGCACTCGGCTGCGTGTCACAATTGTATTGGAGATGCTCTGCGTTCCTTAGGGCAGTTCGATCTCTCAATGGAGCATGTCAATATATCTCTTAAAATGAAACTTAAATCGCTTCCAGCAGATCATGTTGACATTGGCACAAGCTATAAAAACATAGGTCTCACTCACGAACAGAAAGGCGAATATGAAGAGGCTCTTCGTAATTGTGAAAAGGCATTTGCTATCTTTTCTCATTCTCTTTCACAACAACATCCACATGTTACCAAGATCAAGGAAGACATTAATCGTATTAAGGCAAAGTTGAAATGAAGACACCACTGGAAAATTTATTTTTTTCAGTACAAAGTTTGTTTTTCATTAAAAGCTTTTTTATCCAGACTATACCTTCGTTCAGCGAAAAAAGGCAAAAGGCATCCGGGGCATGTTCGTAGCTCCCAGACGGTGAGGTTTCAAAATCTGCGGACGGTTCTAAACGAAAGAGGACACTTTCATCTATCATCCGCGTGCGCCTGAGGTACGGAACCAAAATTCTAACTTGTCTAAAAAACCCAAGGTCTTTCAGAAAAACATTTGGACTAGAACTTTCTTCTCTTTTCTAATTGATTTGATTACTTCTTCAAAGATAATTATTTTTTAAGATTGTTCTTTTATCAACCTATTAAACATACATCTACTTTTCTTTTACAGTTTATTCTACTTTGATACTATGTAGACCACCATTTAGGAGAAATTATTCTATTTTTATGCTTAAAGAATAAAATAAGAAAAGAACAACTTTTACGTTTTCATCAAATGTTCATCTCTTATATATTCAAGGAGGAGAGTGCTCACTGTAAATTTATTTTTGTATTGTGCTAACTTCGCGAACTAAAATTATATTAATTAGAAAAATCGCATTCCCATTTCTTCCACTCGGTTAATCTACACGAGTTGTACACGATACTGATCTGTTTTAGTTTTCGCGGATATATGGCTGTGAATGAATATCGCTGATTATCGCTTAAAAACGTAAGCTTTCCAAAGCCTTGAATGAAATGTAATTTTCTTTCAAATTTTGAGTAAGCGACCATGATTTATATGTAAGTACGAAGTCAGTCTTAAGGTTATACAACAGCGCACCACGTATTTACATATGCGTTAAGCCATTTTATTTTACTACTTTTATAAACTACTAAACATAAATAATGCCCAAGTTAAACCTCTGTGTATGTTTAAATAGTTGTTGTGTTTCTACTAAATTGCTATTTCGAAACGTTATTTCCATTTGTCTTATTAGTGCAAAAACTAGCTTTTCAGACGATAATCAGTGATATTCACAGCCATATATCCGCAAAAACTAAAAGGGATCCTTTTTTAAAAAACAGATCAGTATCGTGTACAACTCGTGTAGATTAACCGAGTGGAAGAAATGGGAATGCGATTTTTCTAATTAATATAATTTTAGTTCGCGAAGTTAGCACAATACAAAAATAAATTTACAGTGAGCACTCTCCTCCTTGAATATATAAGAGATGAACATTTGATGAAAACGTAAAAGTTGTTCTTTTCTTATTTTATTCTTTAAGCATAAAAATAGAATAATTTCTCCTAAATGGTGGTCTACATAGTATCAAAGTAGAATAAACTGTAAAAGAAAAGTAGATGTATGTTTAATAGGTTGATAAAAGAACAATCTTAAAAAATAATTATCTTTGAAGAAGTAATCAAATCAATTAGAAAAGAGAAGAAAGTTCCAGCCCATGTATATAAAAAAAATTATTATAAAATAAAATGTTTTGTAAGAGTAATGATGTATTTTTAAGCTTTGGTCAAACTAAAACAAAAATTCGAACCTTCTCATCCGAATGTGGACCGTTAGCTGGCCACGCCGCATAGAGCATAGCTTCCTAAATGCGACGAAAATTTATGCTAGTCAGTAAAAAGATTTTATCAGGATTTTAACGACATCGAACAGAACTTGTTATACTATGTGGAGAGAAATCTCTTCTAGAAACTTTTGTGTCACAATGTCATCTTTCGTTAGAAAACATGTTATTCGACAAAAATCAATCTAAAGAATATTTATTTATGTTATTTATTATTTGATAAGCAATAGTGTGCGACTGTAGAGGTACCTGTACTTTTTGTACATGGATGTACTACGAAAAAAAAAATTCAGCTTGAAATTCGTTTTCGGTATTGAGTTATAAAAAAACAAGTCACAGCAAACAATGAAGCAGCATAACCCTCTTACACTTTTTCATACAATCATTAGTCCTATTGATCACCAAAATATGAGCTCAAAAGCTTTCTACCACTTCGCGAGGTACTCTCGTCAATTTTAACTAATTGTTATATTAGCCAAGCTAGGAGTACCACCGGCATTTTCTAACCAAAAACTAATTACATACAATTGCCCCGGTGTTGTCACAAATGTTTGAGATAAATAGTCAGGTTTCCCGCTACAGCCGGCAAAATAATAATATGTTCCCGAATGAGCGTTGTTAACAATATTTTCGACTATTGACCATCCTGCAATGCAACCTCCGTTATCAGAGTAGTTCCATCCAGTTAAATTGCCCATTTCGAAACAGCCATTGATAAGCAATTGCTGATTCTCATCGTCAGCTACAACAAAAACGTCATCCAAGTGCCACCATGCTGGATCCTGTTGAAAACCGAATGACAATGTGTGAGCTTGGGATGTCGCATAAAAGCCATAAACATAACACATGTAGACGTTCAATCCAGTCAACATATTTTGTAAAAATAATAATTGACCAAATGTAATCAACAGACCCATAGATGTAGACGGTAATGATGGTAATTGACACTGAGATTCTGTCGATGACGTTGTTATAGTAATAGCTTTTTGAAAAAAACGAATGATTTGGCTGTGGATTATAAACATATAGGTGGACGCAGCTTACTTGTTGTTGTTCTCGTTATCGATGTGCTCATTATTTCACTTGTTTCAATCTCGACAGCTAATGAATGAAAAAAACCCGAGGGGGAAACTGCGAACTTTATAGACTTGAGTGACTTTAAAGTCCTCTCAGATCTTCTAAATTCCTAAAGTTCGCCAAACTTTCGTCAAGTCCTCTGAAGTACGCCAAAGTCTGGTCAAGTTCCGTTCAAGTCCGATTAAGTCTCGAAACATCCAGGGTGATACAACGACGTATTTCTTTGAATATCACGATTATTTATTCGTAAAAGTGACGAGAGAAATAAAAATAATAATTTTCTGTTACCTGAACTATAACTGGAATGCTACAGAGGAAATATTTGACGTAGGGAAGTGTTGAACAGGAAATGAGTATGATCTATTCTTCTCTGCAGGATGCCTACACATATAGAAAAAAGACGGTTCTGCTACTTAAAGGGGGTTACCGGAACTTCGCTAATAAGACATTCGCCAATGGCGAAATTCCATCGTACTTTCACCAACATACCTTATGGATTTTTGCCTATTGGCGAGAGTCCACATGACTTTTGCCAATGTATCCTACAGAATTTCGCCAATTGTCGAATGTCCA